TGTCAGACGTCGGAAATGAGTCACAACCAATTCAAATTCTGCTTGGAGCTGACGTAATAGGAAAAGTTATGACAGGAAAACGAAGAATTTTGGCAAGTTGATTAGTAGCAATAGAGACACTATTGGGATGGACTTTAACAGGGAAAGCACCTGAATATGATTTACCGTCATGCAACGCAATGTTGGTTACTTCACTTTTAGTAAAAGGAATGGATATTTCTGAGCTGTGGAGATTAGATTCTTTAGGAATAAAAGATCCTTCAGAACAAAAATCTAGAGAGGAAATGCAAGAAGCCTCAATGGAACATTTCTTAAATACAGTGAAAGTTGAAGGAGACGGCCGTTTTATAGTTAGTCTGCCATGGATTGATGGGCATTTACCTTTGCCAGATAATTATGATTTGGCGTTAAAGAGATTGCAAATGACAACACGCAAGTTGAAAACCGACAAATTGTATGATGCCTATGGAGAAGTGTTCAAGGACTGAGAGAAAGAGGAAATAATTGAAGAGGTTCCAAAAGAAGACATGGGGATACCTTGTCACTACTTACCTCATCAACCTGTGATAAAGGAGAGCAGCACAACTAAAATCAGGCCCGCGTTCAATGCTTCTTCTAAGAGAAAAGGAGTTCCTAGTATAAATGATTGTGTAGAAAAAGGGTTAAATTTGATAGAAGTAATTCCCTCAATGATAAATAAATTTCGAAGATATAAATTTGGTGTAACAGCTGATATACGTAAGGCTTTTTTGCAAATAAGTCTTTATGAAAATGATAGAAATTTCTTACGATTCTTATTGTATGGAGAAGATGGACAGTTGAAACATTTTCGTCATCGAAGAGTTGTGTTTGGCGTTTCCTGTAGTCCGCTTTTGCTTGGGGCCACTATTCAATACCATTTGAATAATAAAATAGAGGAAGCAATGGGAGGGAATGAAAAATACCCTAAAGAGATTATAGAGGAACTAATATGCAGTTTTTATGTAGATAATTGCCTCACAAGTGTGAAAACTAAATAAGAGTTGAAACAATTCATAGAAGTTGCTANGGGAGGGAATGAAAAATACCCTAAAGAGATCATACAGGAACTAATATGCAGTTTTTATGTAGATAATTGCCTCACAAGTGTGAAAACTGAATCAGAATTGAAACAATTCATAGAAGTTGCTACTAAT